GTTGGAGCCTATCTAAGCTGTCTTAGGGTGAGAGGCAGGGCGCACCCTGGACGGGTCTGTCGCAGGGCAAACACATAGAGACAGACAACCATGGGCAATTTAGAATCATCAATTTACCCAAACCTACTAACTGCATGTCTTTGGACTGTGGGACCTGGAGAGAACCCACGGAAAGAACATGCAAACTCCACACAGAAAGGCTGATCTGATGGTGGAATTGAAGGCAGGACCTTCTTGCTGTCAGGCAACAGTACTAACCACAGACCATCATGCGTACCTTTTGTACCCTTTTCAGGTGGTACTCAACTGTATCTTTGTTGCTCTTGCTGAGGGGCAGATAACCACAGGACAAATCGTGTGTAAAATGTCCACATAAAAAGTTCCATATTTTGTGATAATGTAATAATTTGAAAGAAAGATTTAACAGATACATATTCAGAGCAATGACAGCAAGACTGGATAAGCAGTTAAAACATTGATGTATGGATATTGAAAGCAATTTTATTAAAATATAACACAAATCAATTGTTGGAATCTAATTTGGCTCATATGTGTGTATGTATGTATGTATAGTATATGTAAGTAAATACCGCTCCTGAGTTCCCCTTCTTGAGTTTTTTGGGAATGAGAATCAACACCTCCAAATGTGAGGCCATGGCTGTCAGCCGGAAAAGGGTGGAGTGCCCACTCCGGGTCAGGGACGCGTTCCTGCCCCAAGTGGAGGAGTTTAAGTACCTTGGGATCATGTTCACAAGTGATGGGAGAAGGGAGCAGGAGATCGACAGACGGATTAGTGCACCGGGCGCAGTGATGCGGACGCTGTACCGGTCTGTTGTGGTGAAGAGAGAGCTGAGTGTAAAAGCGAAGCTCTCAATTTACCGGTCGATCTACTTCCCTACCCTCACCTATGGCCACGAGCTGTGGGTAGTGACCGAAAGAACGAGATTGCGAATACAAGCGGCGGAAATGGGCTTCCTCTGAAGGGTGGCTGGTCTCTCCCTTAGAGATAGGGTGAGAAGTTCGGCCATCCGGAGGGGCTCAGAGTAGAGCCGCTGCTCCTCCACATTGAAAGGAGTCAGTTGAGGTGGTTCTGGCATCTGACAAGGATGCCTCGTAGGCACCTCCTGGGTGAGGTGTTCCGGGCATGTCCCACAGGGAGGAGGCCCCAGGGCAGACCCAGGACACGCTGGAGAGATTATATCTCTCGGCTGGCCTGGGAATGCCATGGTGTCCCCACGGAAAAGCTGGAGGAAGTGGTTGGGGAGAGGGAGGTCTGGGCTTCTCTGCTTGGGCTGCTGCCCCCGCGACCCGGCTCCAGATAAGCGGAAGACAATAGATGGATGGATGGAGTTTTTTGCATATTAGTCATATTTAAATGCTTCAGATTATCAAACAAATTTTAAGATGAGACAAAGATAACCTGAGTAAATACAAAGTACAATGATGTTTTTAATTGATGAATTCATTTATTAAGGGAAAAAGATATTCAAACCTAATATCTCGTCATAACATCCTTAGCATTTGATGATCTAAAATATTTAACTGTGACAAATATGCAAAAAAGTAAGAAAACAGGAATCAAGTGTTCTAAACAAAGACCATTTTCTTTAATTCTGAGTTGCTTCCATGACATAACACAGTTTCATAAGTCTTATGATTTATTTGTTATGAAGTCTCTGTAGATAAAGTATTGTGTACTTCAAAACTCAGCACAAAGGTAGGCAGAAAAACAACATAAAATTATATATATAATTATAATTATATAAATATAATTATAATTTGTTCCTCATCTCCCTGAGTATGCTACAGGTCTAGCCCAGGGGTAGGGAACTCCAGGCCTCGAGAGCCAGTGTCCCGCAGGTTTTAGATCTCACCCTGGGTCAACACACCTGAATCAAATGATTATTTCATTACCAGGCCTCTGGAGAACTTCAAGACATGTTGAGGAGCTAATTTAGCCATTTAAATCAGCTGTGTTGGATCAAGGACACATCTAAAACCTTCAGGACACCGGCTCTCGAGGCCTGGATTTCCCTACCCCTGGTCTAGCCTATGGGCTCCCGCAGTATACATACCATACAGCACCCCTTTTTTATTTGTGACATTTTGGATCACTGATCTAAGAGTCCTATTGCATTGCTCCTAAGCTCAGATACAGTAGGTATGGAAATATAGGGAGAACAGAAAACCCGATCTGTCACATATTTAATTTCACATATACATCTACGAGACTGCCAACACATATCTTGATGGTAGCCTTAAGTACTATAACTTGTCTCTCATTCCTTAATTATTTTCTTCTCAATTATAAATCCCCTTTGAACACATGTAGCTCTTCCATCATTGATACCCATGATGAATTTTTAACTGGGGATATACCTTTGGTTGTGATGGCAGGCTGCTCTCCCAGTAGTAGTTTTAGCCTCTTTGCGTGGATTTTACCCTGGTAGTGTGACTGTGCCACAACCGCTGAGGTGAAGGACATGTTACACAGTGTGCAGCATTTATTCTTGTCCACATCACCGTCGTCACTGCCCTAGAAAAGAAAAATGCATGATTGAGAACCACATTTATTTATTTTTGAGAGCTTTAAAAATAGGGTTCAAACATGTACTATGCATAACAAAGGAAGAACAGCATATCATTTTAGCACTTTAACACTGAATGGCTTTACTTTGGCTGACTCAACTTAGAAGATAATTCTAACATTTCCTGTCTGAAGGATAGGATCCTGGCAGAATGCAAATAGAGTCAACTCTATCCAATACAGGACCCAAAAAGCAGACAACTGAAGCCTGATAGATTAAGTGAATAAAAAAAAAGCAAACCTAAAGAAGAAGCAGTAAACAAAAGGTCAAAAAAAGTACAAATAACAACCAAGTCTAAGAACCATAAAGACCAGATCAAGCAACTAGTAACAGAAGATTTCAGTTCGGTTGGGGGTCTGAGAAACTAAGAGATTGGGTGTAGGGCTGGGCCACATTATACCGTTCACAGTAATACCGGTACAATGTTAGGCAACGATAAGAAAATGAAATATCGCGATAGAAGATGGGTAAAACGCATGTGTAGTGCCTTTGTTTTCATACGCACATGGCCAAAAAAAGCATGGCGGCAACGGAGAATGAGAAGGGAGAAAACGGATCGTTGAGTGAAGCGAATGAACCAGAATTAGTTTGTAAAAATTTTGCCACTTCAGTGATGTTGAACTGGTTTGGTGTTTGTCCGTCAGATACAAAACAAAGCAGTTTTTTGTAGAACATGCAAGCGGGCCGTCGTTATTGCCGTATTTGTGGGACTAAGGCGCTCGTAAATCTGGGAGTAGCTGGGTCCTGAACTCCGTCTCTTCAGGTCCCAAAGTCAAACAAACCCTGCAGAATCACTGAGAGTTAAAATGTCTAAATTCTTTCATCTTTAATAAAACGATCAGCATTGCTGCTTTACCAGGTGTAACTATGAAGTTTAACATCCAGGCACCCATGAAAACAGAATTTATTACACTTAACGGAGTTAGAAGCTAGCGGAAGTTAGCTCGCTAGTTTCACTAGTTACCTGAGCATGATATAGCATGTTCTAACTGAGAGATTTCTGAAAAATTCAAACGTACAGCTCTGCTATCATTTCCAACTTAAATGAAGACAGGAAACTAAACAGCAGTGACGTTTGTAAGGTTACTGAAGTTGGGCTAGCTGGTTTATAATCATGTGCTACGTGATCGCTAGCGACACAGCTATGTTAGCATAACATAAACGGTGAATCTGGAGGAATCAACGCTAACACTTTTCCACTCGATAAAAGTTAACGTGAAGGTTCCTGATGGTTAGAGACAAATGCAATCGCATGGCAGTATGCTGTAAACGGACCAAACTTCAGTCAGGAGAACAACTGAGACAATCCATCCACAATACGAGGTTAGTCAATAATATACTGCAACAACACGGGAATAGAGCAGCTGTGATAGAATACAGCATTAATGAATCAATGGTACAGAAGTGGAAGAAGCGAGAAGTATGAGTTGAATAAAGTTTGATTTATCTGACTGCTTTATTTAGCTTAATGTGCCTTATAATCCCGTGCACCTTATGGTCTGAAAAATACGTATTTGACTTTTTTATTTGACACACTGCAGTTTAATGTTGCAAAGCACTTCTTTTTAACTTCAGTGGATATTATACATGGTTATGCTCAGGATATGTCAGCCCATTTCTACTGGAAATGCCTTTTGGTTCAACTTTCAGCAAGGAATTTGCATTTGCACAGTTAAATTTTTATATAGCTTTAATACACATAAACAGCTGCTTGTTTAAGTGAAAATACATGAATGGGTTTTTTTGCGCTAGTACAGTTGTGGAGTTGTATTTTGTCTCGCGTCAATTATATCGTTAGTTATATCGTCAGTTATATCGTTATCGCAAATTGTCAAATATATATCGTGATAAATATTTTTGGCCATATCGCCCTGCTCTAACTGGGTGAATTCAGAAATGGCTGCAAATGTCTTCAAACTTCATCAGTTTTCAGCCATTAACACAGAAATGTTCAGACGCTTGGGACCTGATAGAACTGTCTTTTCTGTCAATGTATCAAACAGG